GGACAGCGGGGATGGCTGAGCCGGCTCAGAGCCTTCACAGGCAGCCCCACAGTGTGCAGTGGCTAATGACTCCCAGAGCACTCGCCCGGCCGCCCGCTCGTCCGCTCCGTGAGGTGGGCGTGACTGTCTTGGTGCCACCCATCGGGACAGCGGGACTAGGCCCAGGTCTCCAGACTCCAAATTCCGAGCTCGTCCCAGTGTTTTGCACAAGGATTCCCTCAACTGATAATGAACCAACCGAGGAGGAAAAAGGGAGTCAGCGGGGGGGTTGATGGAACAAAAGCCCTTTTGCGATGGTTTTTTTTTTAATGTTTTTATTGATTTCAGAGAGGAAGGGAGAGGGAGAGAGAGAGAAACATCAGTGATGAGAGAGAACCATTGACAAGGTGCCTCCTGCACGCCCCCTCCTGGGGATGGAGCCCGCACCCAGGCCTGTGCCCTGACCGGGATGGACCTGTGACCTCCTGGTTCTGAGCCACACCGGCTGGGCACAGCCCGCACTTAGCCATGCCACCCTCAGCCTCCCTCTATACCCCTACAATACTTCCAGAAACTGTGTACGTAACAAAGGACAATGTCTCAACACTGAAACGCAGGTTTTTAGTGTGTGAACACTCGTAGACATCTCTTTGAAATGACATTTCTTAAAAAGTCAGATTGTCGGCAATGTTCCAAACCCTGTGACAAATAAACACACACGCACCCCTGCAGGCCAGGTACGCGAGCGAAGCAGCGGGTACGTGGATGGGTACCGTGGACTGAAGGTGGCGTCCCCACGCTGTTATTCTGACTCGTGCCTGTTTAAAAGATTTTGTCCCGTGTGTGTGTGTCATGCAATTATTTAATCCAAGAACCGCCTCCCGAAGGTTTTAGTAATTTAACAGGAAGCCACCACAGAACCACGGAGGCCACGAGCGCAGTGCGGCCTGGTGGTTTCTCAGCAGGGCCGTGGGGTTGGGTCCCTCAACCACGTGATGCTGAGCCGCCGTCGGCTGTTCAGTCCGTTCTCATAACCAAGTTTCTCCCTTTACGTCAAAGGACCCTCAGTCCCTCTTCCATAGAGATTCGTGCTCTGAAACTTGGCGTTTTTCCCAAGTGTGATGAGTTTAAAGGTTTTGTGTATCTGCAGCTCCCGCCCCACTGTCCTGTCATTCTGACTTATTGAGCTTGTCCGTTACCATTATTAAAAGCTTTCGTGTCCCCCATTATTATTTTGTTCTCATTAGCTGGGCCATTTAGAGGTTCCATCTCCCCGGGGATGCGGTGGAGCCTGTGTAGGTGGGTGTGTGCCTGGGGGCAGCTGGCCAACTCATCACCTGGGGGTGCGCTAGGCTCCTGCTCACCTGCTCATTCCGTGACCCTGCCCCCGGGACCTGGGATGTGCCTGAGCTTTTGCTGCCATGAAGGTGGAAACCAGCACGCCACATACCAAGTAATGCCCGTTGCTGTGGTCACGGCCGGGCGCAGCCCCTGGCATGGTCACCGCACTCCACTTTTACAGATGTTTCCCTTCTCTGCTTCCCACCGGGCCCATTACTCACATCAGACTTGCCCACGGGTAGCTTTAAACCTCCCCGTTTTAACCCAGCATCGTCCCAAGCTATGGTCGCCATGCAGCGCCACACTTGATATATATTATAGTTCAGTTCACTGTTTCGTAAGTGCACGTTAAGAGAAAGGTGTGGTGAGTTCATGTATGCATAAAGCATCTATTTCTGGTGTAGGTTAGGTTCTCAATAAATATTAGTTACATTTTGAGAAAGGGATGCAAATTGGAGATTGCATGGAAAAGGCCAAGAGAATGAAAAACTGGGAAAAATGATAACAAAGTAAAATAACGGTGTGACTGCTGACCCGATGGGCTGTGCGGGTGCCCCCGGGGCCTGCTCGCACTGGCAGGATCCATGGCCCCGCCTAGTGAAGGAGATCTGGTCAGAGGCCACATACCGAGGATGCTAATCACGCGAAATATCCAAATAATGAGATTACTTCTAAAGAACTAAAAAGAAACCAAATATCCCATTTTTATTTTTTTAAAAAGAAAATTTCTGTTTGTGTTATTGATTTCAGAGAGAGGAAGGGAGAGGGAGAAAGAGAGAAACATTGATGATGACAACCATGGATCGGCTGCCTCCTGCACGCCCCTACTGGGGATCGAGCCCGCAACCTGGGCATGTGCCCTTGACCAGGAATCGAACCAGTGACCTCTGGGTTCATAGGTTGATGCTCAACCACTGAGCCACCCCGGCCAGGCCCAAATGTCCCGTTTTTAAAAGCAATAATGGAAAAGGAAATCTTAGTGGTTTCAGAACCCGCATACTTGAGAGAAATACCCTGCAATGAAATGAGATTAACATGGTTCCTCCAACAAGCCCTGCTCTGGCTCTGGGCTGGGAAGACTGGGTGGGGGGAGACCACCTGAGGGAGGAGGAACACGGGGAGCAAAGACCTGGGGCCGAGTGCTCCCCTGAGGAAACAGCCCCGGAGCAAACGTCTGGGTGGGGAGCCGGGTGCTCATGGTAACAGCCCAGCGGGCGGGGCTGGACTGGAGGGAGGAGGGGTGAGGTGGCAGGTGTGACCAGACAGCTGAGGGGCAGACCCCGGGCCATCGCTGGGCGTGGCTGTGTCCATGGTGGAGTTTGGAGCAGGCATGTGACGGGAGCTGATCCCATTGGCTGCCGGGGGGGAAGTGATGGCATCGGATCAAGAATGAAAACTAAGACCTAGTTGGGCTGTGCGGTGATCCCCCAGGTGAGAGCCCCTGGCGGCTCTGTCCAGGGAGGTGGCCCTGAAGGTGGTGGAGGCAAGGGTCGGGGAGTTTATATATTTATGAATGGATATGGGAGAGCCTGGAATTTCATTTCTTTCTTGGAATTGTTCAGATTAAGTGCACATACAGTTGTAAATGTTAATTACATATATATATGTATATGTGTATATATATGTGTGTGTGTGTATATATATATATTGATAGAACATAGTTATACACTTATAATTTATTTCTAATGTATAATTTAGGTGTATTTTCCCTTTTGAGAAACCCAATCTCCTTTGGGGGGGATAAGTTGTGATTGCTTATAAAACATTTTTGATAAGTTGTGCTTATAAAACATATAGTGTTCCCGCTAAACTGTGATAACAGGCGTGTTATAGTCTCCCGTTTTAGTACTTGTCAGTGTCACTGACAAAAAAGCAGCCACGTTTGTCAGCCTGAGGTTTGAGCGGAGGGTGACGTACGGGCTATGGATTTGGGCCTGAGGAACTGGGTGATTCCACTGCTGGTGACTGACTCAGTTGCAAGAAGCGCCTTGCGGGCAGAGGGCCTGGGAGGTCTGTGCGTGTGACCTTGGCCCCTGCTTCTCCCCCTCAGTGATCCCCAAGGTCACCAAGCACCTGCTCTCCAACCCCGTGTTCACCTGCATCGTCCTGGCCGCCTGCATGGAGATCGCGGTGGTGGCGGGCTTCGCTGCCTTCCTGGGGAAGTACCTGGAGCAGCAGTTTAACCTCACCACCTCCTCCGCCAACCAGCTGCTCGGTGAGTCCGCCTCAGCCCCCGGAGGAGTGGAGGGGGCTGTCCTGCTCATAATCAATACGGCAAGAGCGTCCAGAGCCCGGCCGGTGTGGCTCAGTGGTTGAGTGTCGACCTATGAACCAGGTTTGATTCCCGGTCAGGGCACATGCCCGGGTTGCGGGCTCGATCCCAGCAGAGGGCGTGCAGGAGTCAGCTGATCGATGATTCTCATCATTGATGTTTCTCTCTCTCTCCCCCTCTCCCTTCCACTCTGTGCTATTTTCTTTCAGAGCTCCACCTCCCTGATTATATTTCTCTGACTCTAATATTAAAATTAATTTGCATTCCCTGAGCACGTAGCAGCTGGTTGATACAGTCACCTGACCTAGAATCTGCTGATTGGCAAGGAGGAGGCCTACTGGGCCGGCAAATTGGCCGCATAACCCACCCCGTGGACAAATGACGCCCGGGGTCATTTACATTCGAGTTTTCGATGAAGCGCATTGGTTCCCTAAAATCCCACGAGTCTCTGAGAATCATAAGTAACAGGTTTTGGTCCTGCTGCTTTGCAGACGGCTCTGTTTATGAGAGAGAGAGAGAGAGAGAGAGAGAGAGAGAGAAAGAAAGAAAGAGATTGATTTACTCACCAAGAGCCCCAGAATATGCTGACTGGTTTGGTGCTATTTCCTGCGAGGCTCTGGGGCTGCTTAAAGCACCGTCTGGGGCTGGTGGGTGTGGGCCCTTTGGTTAAACAGCTCCTGGCCCCTCCTCGGAGCACCCCTGGCCTGGTTAGAAGACGGGGGGACATCCCCTGTGAGTGGCAGCCCCGGACCCCGTCACTGAGCAGCGCGGAGAGCGCCCTGGCTCCTGGTCCTCCTTTCTCAGAGCGCGTGCGCGTCCCTGGAATATGTCTTTGTGTCTCGGTCGTCCCCGCACCAGCTGTGTTTCTGTGCGGGGACCCCACTCACAATAGGAGGGCCATTCAGACGCCTGGGAACGGAGTTGGTATATGTGTGTCTCCCCAGCTTTCTGTGAGCTCCTTGAGGGCCGAGATGAGGCCCCCGATGGAGACTTGGGCACCGGGAGGGCGGCCGGGAGGGAGGCCCCGCTGCCCCTGCTCATGGCCCGCCCCTGCCCTCCAGGGATGACGGCGATCCCCTGCGCCTGCCTGGGCATCTTCCTGGGCGGCCTGCTGGTGAAGAAGCTCAGCCTGTCCGCCCTGGGCGCCATCCGCATGGCCATGCTGGTCAACCTGGTGTCCACGGCCTGCTACGTCTCCTTCCTCTTCCTGGGCTGCGACACGGGCCCGGTGGCCGGGGTCACGGTTCCCTACGGAAACACGTAAGTCCTGCGTGTCTGCTCTGCCCGTCGGCCCCACAGGCTGGCCACCCCTCACGCGTAGGGACCGGGCGGAGGAGTGGATGGCGCCTCTGCATCTGGCTCCCAAGGTCAGAGAATCGGGTGAGCCCTGGGCGGGGAGGGCAGACCACTCCCCTCGACGGCTCGCCCAGGGCAGCCGACAGACGCCAGGGAGTCGGTCAGACATCACTCCCCGGAGGACTCACATTCCGGCCTCTCATGTCTGACTGTGGGAGTAATGTGAAGATAGGAAATAAAAATGATTTTATTGTAATATTCAGCTCCAAGTAAAAGATGGAATAGGCGTCAACAGTTCCCTAGGCTAATGGAGCTATTATTATGCTCACACGGTAATCACAGGCTCTGGCCCGGGTAGGAATTGGTAAGTGTGGAGGGAGAATAAAAAGGAGAGAAGGGAGAGGCGAAGTGAAGGAACTTTTCTTACTGTCCAGTTACCACCCTTAGATGCCGGTGTTGACAGCTTCCCCTTTTCTACATGGGACTCGGGCTGCCTCGAGAAGCCGGCCTGGAGCTGAGGCTGTGGCACAGCTGGCCTGCACTTCCTCTCTTCCCTGGCCGCCTCCTCCAGGCAGGCCGCCAGGCCCACTTCTGCAGTTAAGCCAGACGCTGCAGTGGAGCTGGGCTCAAGGAGAGACCCTTTCCCTCTTACACACTAAAAACACCCCTTCTGCCCCTTCCTCTTTGCAGTTTGCTTGCTCAAGGTCACTGTGCCTTTAGTGGTACAAAAGCAAATTTAAAATATCTCAGTGTTATTTTTCGCAGGAAATCAGCACACGCAAGGGGACAGTAATTACTGAAGCAGCCTAGTCAAAGTAGTTCGTGAGGCACCACGAGGCTTGCTGTCTGCTGGGAGGAATTAAACAGAGACAGGACTGGAGAGGGGAGACGTTAGAGGTCAGCTGTGCTGGGTGGAGCTGTTGGCCCAGTGGAGGCTGTGGTAATCCGGAGAGGCAGCATGGAGGAGGTGGCCCTGAGCAGAGCTCCCGCCAGCCAGCCAGCCAGCCAGCCAGCCTGGCTCCATGGTGCAGGGAGCAGCCCTTAGACGCTCAGCGGTGGCTCTGGGCTGCATCTTGCAGGACAAGAGGGTTAAGAGGAGGAAAAGCAAGGGGGTGACACATCCCATCAGAGGGCAGAGGGATGTCCCTGGGGCGTCCTGGGGAAGCCGGCCTTGCTCTGACCGGCTCTGTGTTTTCTTTCTTTTCCAGCTCAGCGCCTGGCGCAGCCCTGGACCCCTACTCGCCCTGCAATAAAAACTGTGAATGCCAAACCGACTCCTTCACTCCCGTGTGCGGGGCGGACGGCGTCACCTACCTGTCTGCCTGCTTCGCTGGCTGCAACAGCACGGTATGCGGTTTCCTCGGGGCGCGGGAGGGAGCGGGGACGCGGGCAGCCGCAGCGGCTTAAACCCGAAGGGCAGGGGCAGGCGTGGGCAGCCACACTGGGTCTTCTCTCAACCCGCCCCGCTCCGGCGAAGGGTTTTCCATCAGTGGGAGGAGGGGACAGCTGGGCCCTTCTTGCTAAATCCAATTGGTTTCCCAAAAGCGTCTCTGAGCAAAGGAAAGGAAACAGAGGAAGCTGCACATGTGGAGCCAGAGAAAAGACTGGCCCGAGGCACTCACAGGGGTCAGTGGGGGAGGACGACTCTGCGGTAATGAGCTCCCCAGCAACACGAGTATGCAAGGGAAGGCTAGAAAGCCATGACCAGGGGAGCCCTCTTCCACAGCGGAGACTGTGGCAGCAATTCGGCCTCTTCCCTATGCAGCGCCCTTGGCCTTCTGCGTCTCCATCTCCCACGGTACCTTTTGCGGCTCTTTCCTTCTTGGCCGGAATTACACAGCTGGCAGGAGCCTGCCGCCTCCCATGTTCTCCGCGTGGAAACCCGATGCCAAGGGACTGGTCACCAGTTCCCGTGGGTCCTACCTGCAGGGTCTCTGGTGCCTGCCCTTCCGCATCCACCCCCGCCCTGCTAGGGGCCTTCCTCTTCTCTTGCTTGAACCAGGGCGGTGGTTGCCTAACTGGTCCCCCCAGCTCAGGGTGGCCCCTTTCTGGTCTGTCCTCCAGGCTGCAGCCAGAATGTTTTCTGGGAGGCGACAAGGACCCTTGCTAGCGCTGCTCTGTGAGCTGGGAGGGAAGAGCCAGGCGGCCCTGGGAGGGAAGAGCCAGGCGGCCCTGGGTTTGCGTCCTCAGCATGTGTCTGTCCTGGGGGCAGCTGTCTCATTTCCCGGAGTGGCCTGCTGGCATCCACCCCTGCTCTTTCCTGGGGGCCCACGGACGCCCGGTGGGAGGCCAGAGAAGAAGAGGGCTGAGTGCTGCCCTCAAGGCACCGAGAGTCGAAATTACCTGCTTCCTGTCCTTGCCTCATCCCCCGTCTTTGGGGAGCAGCCATTTTTTTTGCAGTAGGAAACACGGGTCGTTTATTTTCATTTCCAAAGATGTATTCCCCTTGCTTTTAGCATTTACATTCCTAGCCAGTTATTAACATTTTTTTCTATAGAGAAAATAAATAACCATGGGGTGGGGGGAGAGGAACTGATTCTTAAATTAGATGATAAAGCGGTTTCTTGAGGTGGGTGGAAATGAATTTTTTAAAAAGGGAAGGAGCCGGAGAGGGTGAAAGTAAAAGCACAAGCTATTCTTCCTCGTGACACCAATGTCATTAATACTCAAGGAGTTACATTACAGATCGGGGTTGGTTATTGTCCTGTTGGGAGAATTAAGTGGAGGCTGTGCCCTGAGACCAGAGGATCTCCCCTCCAGAGCATTCTCTGGCCCCGAAATCATAACGTCTAGAACACTGAGGACAGGTGTCATTCAGGACAGCGTCCAGGCCATTGTGGCATCTTCGGCCCTTTGCCGCCTCGGCGAGGAGCAGGTCACACAGAAGGGAAGGCCGCAACCCTTTCTAGATACAGGCTAAGGGCTTGCCGGTCCTTCCTCACAGCTGACTGCATTTCGGAAAGAAAAGCAAATCCGTATTCCAGACTGTTGGGAGGGACTCTCCACTTCCCACATGTTTGTTTTTGTTTCATGTTTTTACTGATTTCAGAGAGGAAGGGAGAGAGAGGTAGAAACAGCAATGAGGAGAATCATTGATCGGCTGCCTCCTGCATGCCCCCCACTGGAGATCGAGCCCACAACCCGGGCATGTGCCCTGACTGTGAATCAAACCGTGACCTCCTGGTTCATAGGTCGATGCTCAACCACTGAGCCACGCCGGCCGGCCTCCACTTCCCACATTTCACATCAGACTCAACATATAGAACATCATCTCCCCCATCGCTGTCCCCTTAGAAAAGTAATCTTCCAACCTAGACATTAGTGTATTTGTACGATTAATAGAAATTGATCCATCAGTACTGAATGTGCAGGGAACCCATACAAAAACAACTTTATTCGCCAGCGTTTCTGACACTGCTGACGAGTATTTTGTGTTTGTAATGTGCGCTGTCAAAATAGCACGCGTGTGCCTTCCTTCAGCAGCAGAAACGAATCCAAGATCCCAGCGACTCATTTTTCTATTTTTATGGTCGCGGCTTTATTGTAATTATTTATCCCCATCATTGGATGTGAATAGAAACATTTCTCAATGGAAATGAATGTCTGAGCTGTGGCACGGGCGTATGATTCTCAATGACTGTGTTATTCTTCGTCCGTTGGTTTCTTTATTTTCTAAAGTTCTAGACTTTTTCATCTTTTTAAGAAATGATACATTCGTACGGTTCAAAAATCAGGAAGTAGAGAAAGGAGGGCGTGAAAACCCTCCTTACTACTTCGGCCTCCCACTTTTCAACCCCCACTCTGCCCAGTGGGTGACACTATTACTGGTTTCTTGCAGGCTGTCCTTCTGGGTTTTAATGTTTAGGGTCTTATTCTGTACCTGTTGTTTGTGGGGGTTTGTTGTCAGTGACTTATCTTGGAGTTCTTTTCATATCAGTACGTAGAGAGCACTTGCATACCTTTTTGACAGCTGTATAGTATTCCACTGCGAATCTGTTAGAGGCTGTGTAACCAACCTCTATAGGTAGGCACTCCGATGGCTGCAGAACTTTAGCTCTCGCAGTGTTGTGACTCGTGTTAAACTTAGGGTATTTTGTGCCCAGGCAGGTCTGTCTGTGGGGCAAGTTCTGGTGCTGTAATCACACAAAGGCACTGGCTCTAGGCAGATTGCTCAGGGCAGAGGATCCTGCCCAACCGTGTGTCCCCCAGCCTCAGCCCCTGTGCAGGGCACAGTCATAAAGGGGGGCCCTGTTGGAGGCAGGCAGGGGGAGCTGGTGGAGGCTGGCAGGGGGGCTGTTGGGGGCGGGCAGGGGGCCCTGTTGGAGGCGGGCAAGCGACTTTGGACGTCCCTGCAAGCATCCAGGTAACTTTGTGGGATAAGCAAAGCCTGTCGCATGTTCTGTGGGGAAAGAAAAGAAGGGGGAGAAGGAGGCGAGGGGGGAGGGGCTGGCGGAGGAGGTTAAAGTGGGGGTGAGCCTCAGGAGGACGCACCCGTGTGCCCTAAAGGCTGAGCGGCCCTGGGAAGGAAAGCAGTGCGTTGCTTCTGATTGTTTCCATCCTGCATCCCTTGAAGGGCCCTGCGCTGTTATTATCCAGCCCTAACTGGCTTGCTGCTCACCAGGCACTGCCTCTCCCAGCCCCGCCCCTCCCGTTGCCGTCAAGAATTCCTGCAGCGGGAGCGCGGTGCCTGGGACTGGGCGGCTGGGCAAGCACCCGGGAGGCCATGTGCGCGACAGTGGCTGTTCCTCCTCCTCCTCCTCTCTGATCATACGCTGATCAGGGTGCTCCCGGCTGTAGCTTGCTCCCCAGCACCGCCCTGAGTACCCGCATCTCTCGGCCTCTCTGCCTTCCAGCCCCTCAAGAGCCTTCCTTAGCTCCCCCCTCTCTGGGCCCCACAATGGCAGCCACGTCACACCTGACAGGGCGCAGCCTTTGTCCCAAGTGCCACCCTGGGCACAGGACCAGTAGCAGGGTGCAGATTACCTGATTTACTCTTTCAATACACTCGGTGTAATTATAACTGCATGAAGGAGGACAAATTGGCAGGTGATGACAGTGTTAATTGGCAAGGTTTTAACATATTGTGGAAGCGCAATTTCCTCTCTAATCAGAAGTGGGGGGTAGGGCACGTTTGTCTACAGTGCAGCCGACGGAGGGATCCCCGAGCAGGGAAATGAAATACACAGGAGACGGGGCTCAGCTCTCCCCCCATACATATGCCTTTCTTTGCGTGCGTTCTGCAGCCTCCTTAAAACGCGAACGCGTTTGCTCAGGCCTGATGCATGGGAGGCTGGGGGGCGGGGGAGGGGGGCATAATGGGGCTGCGCAGCTCCAGCCCAG